AGGAAGGAAGGAAGGAAGGAAGGAAGGAAGGAAGGAAGGAAGGAAGGAAGGAAGGAAGGAAGGAAGGAAGGAAGGAAGGAAGGAAGGAAGGAAGGGCCAGCCAGCAGGTCCAACACCAGGGACCTTGGCTCCACTCACCACAAAACTTGGGGGCAGATTTAATTCTCCTTTTACTCCCAGTGGGAAGGGAAGCTCTCTCACACTCTCCCATGGACTTTCATTCTCTTTTTCTAATTCTCTTAGTGACTTTATCACCCATCAGCCACCTCTGCTGCTAGTTTCTTTAAATTGAAATGGGCTAACCTTCCAGACTCTGGGGGATCAGAGAAACACCTGTGGATATGTTTCCTATTTGATGTAACTATGAGCTGCTAAATTAACAGGACTGACTAAAGACACTATCCTTTGTTAACAGTGGAAAACCTGGTTTTCCATCAACAGTTTTAAAGGYACCCTACAAGAAAATATGCACTTCCATGTTCCTGGATTCTATTTACTGTCAAACAGGACTCTGAATTTATGACTTTTGGGATCCATGCATGTGTCTCATGGGGAACTTTTAGTCTGAGTGTTTGCTGCCCTCAACCTCTGGGTCCCCACTGAGCAGGCACCACTCAAACTGTTCCCAACTCGGTTTCATTTTTGTGCTGTCTGTGCATGGTTCTGAGTCACACACCAAAGCCCTACAAACAACTGCATCTGTTTCAGTTCCTGCCCTGGGGCTGGACATCCTCTCAGCTCCCGAGGCAGCTCACACAGCCCTTGGCAGCCTCAGCTTTCCCTCTCCCTGCCCRCCACACTGTCTAACATCCCCTAATGACTAACATTAGGCCCACTCTGCTATCCCCTGCATGCCAGCCTCTGCCTTCCTCACCTGGTGGAGAGCCCTCAGGGTCCACTGCTGGTGACCTGGTGGTGTGAGGGTGTGGTGACATCCAGGGAGATGCTGGCACCCTGCAGGGACACGTGCAGTCCCTTTTGTCCCCCAGCCCCGTTCCCTGAGSAGGGATGCTGACATCTCTCACCTGTACTGCTCGTTGGCTTTCAGCTTCCCGTTGCACGTTGTTCTGGACTGGCCGCACTCCTCTGTCCCCACGGGCACTCGCCAGGTGTCGGGGGAGCTCCTCTGGTGGAAGGGGTTGGGTATGAGCACTGCCAGGTACGAGTCCTCGGTYCCGTAGTAGTGGTCATACCATGTGCTGGACATGGTCTCCTGGGTGGGCCTCAGCACTGGAGGGGAACGTGCAARATGACACTGACAGTCCCAAAGTGACATCCAGGGGACCTGCTGCCCTCCTGGGGGACTGGGACACGCGGGGACACTCACRTGAGTCGTTGGTGGTAGCAATGACACCGTAGTACTCGATCTGGCCGTTCTCCTCGCTGAACAGGTCGGGTGAAATGACCACCGTGGAGCTGGCCTCCACCGGGAAGGCGTCTGCACGCAGGGGTGGGGGCAGCGCTGCAGGAGCAACCAGCAGGCACAGCCCCTTAGTGTGTCCCTGTCCCCAGATTGTCCCTGTCCCTGTCCCCAGAACCTCTGCTCAGCCTCGAACCAGCAGGCATAGCCCCTTAGTATGTCCCTGTCCCCAGAGTGTCCCTTCCCTAGAGTGTCTCTGTCCCCAGATCCCACTCACTGCTCAGTCTGGAACCAACAGGCACAGCCCCTTAGTGTGTCCCTGTCCCCAGAGTGTCCCTTCCCTAGAGTGTCTCTGTCCCCAGATCCCACTCACTGCTCAGTCTGGAACCAACAGGCACAGCCCCTTAGTGTGTCCCTGTCCCCAGAGTGTCCCTTCCCTAGAGTGTCTCTGTCCCCAGATCCCATTCACTGTTCAGTCTGGAACCAACAGGCACAGCCCCTTAGTGTGCCCCTGTCCCCAGAGTGTCTCTGTCCCCAGACCTTGGTCAGCCTGGACCAGCAGCACTGCCAGACCCCTGACGCGCTGCAGGTCAGCGAAACCTTGTGGGGCTCACCCCAAAGAGTCCCCGTGTCTCATCCCAGCCCTGGGGTTTCCTCCCGGGGTCTGYGCAGGGCTGTGGGAAGGAAGGGCACTCACGCTCCACTGCCGTGCTGCAGAGCAGGGTCACAGCCTGGCTCCTCAGYGCGTTCATGCCCACAGTGCTCACAACGATCTGGTAGGAGGAGTTGGGCTCCAGCCCCTCCAGACTGGCCTCGCTCGAAGGGATGCTCAGGACATTCTTGGGGGTGGGATTTCCTTCAGAGAGTCTCTCTGCCACCACCTCGTAAGCCTCCACATCTCCAGGAGAGCTTGTCCAGTTCAAGTAAAGGCTCCTTGACTCTGGTAGGCACTGCACATCTGTCACTGGATTTGGCTCTGCGAAGGAGACAGAACAGGCTCTGGACTCACCAGATCAGGAAAATCCCTCTGCCCCTGCAGCAACACTCTGAAGCCATCAAGACCAGCAAAGCCGGACACCTGCGGTCTGGGGACCTGCCAGGCCCTGAGCTCACCCCTTAMAGGAGACATCAACCACTGGAGATCTCTGCAAAGCCTGCTCTGCTTCCCAGGTAGCCAGGAGGCCTCTGAGAAGGGGCTGGCTTAGGGAGCCAATGGCTACTGCAGGGTCACCTTGCTGGCTTTTGCTATGTCCTGCCATAAGATTTCCCACGCCTGACACCCAAGGGTCCATCCAGACTTGAGGCCACCCAGGTGTTCATCCCCTCCCAGGCTGTCCCACTCCCTCCCCACTGCAGTGCGTACCCACCCACGGGCACCGYCAAGGGCTTGGTGCTGCTCCAGTAGGGCCCCGCCACGCAGCTCAAGGACACGGAGTAGTTCCTGCCCGGGATCAGCCCCTGGAGCAGCTGCTGGACCTGTCCCCTGCCCAGGGAGTGCCGCCAGGGCAGTGAGCTGTTCCGGGGATCCCGCAGCCACAGCTGGCAGTCGTCCTGCTGTCCAGAGACACTGCCCCAGGAGATCAGCATCGTGCTGTTCCCCTCAGCCACCGCTGAGAGATTCTGGGGAACTGAGGGGGCTGCAACAAAAACCACACCAGGAAGAGTTACTGGCATGCACATGCTCTGTTCCATSCTACAGCAGACGGGTGACACACGAGGGGACCCCACATGTTCAGTGATAACATTCCTTCAGCTGCTGTCGGCCAGAAATGACCTTTAAATGGCAGCTGAAAGACACAGAGAGTGAGGAGTGTGAGGAGATGGATTCTTCTTCCCCTAATTAGCAAGTTTCATTAGAGACCTGCCCCAAGGGCTGTGCACATGACTCCCAGCTCCCTGCCAGGGGAGGGCTGAGCGTGGGAGCAGGGACCGCYGGACTCCCCAAGCAAAGTGCAGGGACTGCGGGGACAAGCACATGAAAAGGCTTATTGTGCTTATCTGCATTTCCACATTCCTTTCAAAAGAAAAAAAGGCTGTCCTCCCCTTACACCCCATGCCAGGAATTCTCTGAGTGCCTGGAATAAAGACAGCAGGAATGGTGGGGTGTCCCCCCCCCCCCCGTCTGTAAGGCATCATGGTCACCCGGGCTATGGGTGTCATCTAGCAGAGCAGCACTGCTGCTGTGGGATCCCGTGCCTGGAGGAGCCAGACTGTGTGACCAGTGGGGCCACGGGCCGGACACTGCCTCCTGAAACAGCAGCCACAGCTGCCAGGCCCTCCCACAGGCAGCAGGACTGCCTAGCTGTCCCATCCACCAGGGCTTGCCCAGCCCACGGTCCCATTGCTGCACTGGTACATCCCATCCCATCCCATCCCATCCCATCCCATCCCAATCCCATCCCAATCCCATCCCATCCCTGGAAATATTCCAGGTCAGGTCAGATAGTGCTCTGAGCAGTCTGATCCAGTTGAAGATGTCCCTGWCAGTGGYGGGGGTGTTGGACTAGATGGCCTTTGGAAGGTCCCTTCCAACCCAAATCTTTCTCTGATCCTACAGCTCCCAGGCAGTAGCCCTGGCTGAGTCTCTGTCTGTCCCCACTGCAGGTGCTGAGCCCTGTGCCAGGTGCAGAACGTCTGGCTCTGACACTTACTTGTCCAGTCACTGATGTTCCCTGAGGAGGCTGCATAGGGCCCTGCCACAGACATCACTTCCAGCAGGTATCTGTGTCCTGGAGCCAGGCCAGAAAAGGTGAATTTGCTGGTGCCTTTCCCCACAGAGACGTTKGCTGCCACGGTACCGGACCCCGAATGGTACAGGAGGAGCCTGTAACCATCCTGTCCTTGGGGCTCAGCTCGCCAGGACGCRCTCAGCCTGTTGGGATAGCCCTGGTTCGTCATGTACACGTTGCGGGGTGCCAAGGGGTCTGCAGAGACAGTGGGGGAGGGAGACACACCTGATGCCTGATGATTTTTTTTTTCTTTTGTATACACCCTTTWATATATTTTATATAAATAATAATGTATAAATATATACTTTTTTTGACATTTTCTGTACCCATTATGTATTCCTTTGCCTATGTGYTTGGAATTCTTGTAACCTGATATTCCAGCTCAGTTTTGGGGTTCTGCTGGGCACAAAGACCAAACATCCTCAGGAGGAGGCCAGTGAGCCCTGGGCTGTCTCAAACTCAGGGCTCCCACTTTAGCTGAAACCTTCTCTCTGGGACCAGTTGTGTAAACCGGGCTCTGGCCTCATCTGGGGGGAATTTTTTWAAATAAGGGGACATTACTTMATTTATTAAGTTTCTTATTGGGGAATTCTAGATAGATATGCTAATTTGTGAAGTCTATAAAAATTGTGTGARTGTTACACGCAGTGCGCATTTTTGGTGTTTTTCACCTTGATGAGCTGTGCACCTGCAATCCCAGTAAAATATCGAGGGAAAAYCCTTTTATCCCCTTAACCMTGTCTGTCWCATAATTCTAAAATTAGCCAAAAAGGCAACACAATAGCAAAGGGCCCGAGGACACTGCTGGGGTCTCTTGGTAGTGCCATCAAAAGGTATGTACCACCCTGGACAGGGGGCACCCCACCTCAGCTCTGTAGCTGCAGCCACCAGAGGCAGCTCAGAGCTTCTGCCAACATCTCTGTGCTTGTCTGAGCAGGGATAGCCCTGTCCCAGATAGAAAGGGATCCCTGGGGAGGGGTGAGGAGGGGACGATCAGCTGAAGGACAGAGGAAGGAGAATGCCCCGTCTGCTGCTCCTTGCTCCATGGCTCTGTTCTGAAGCATGGCTCTGGAGTTCCAGCTTCCCTCACCCAGCTGTTAAACCAGCTGGGGCAGAGCTCTTTACCCTCAGCATGACCCAGGCCTGATAACACCCTAGGGGAGCCATCTCTGCTAATGGGCCATCCAGGGCTCAGGGAATCACCCATGGAATTCCCTTCCATCCCTTGGGGGATGCCCTGCCCAGAGAGGAGGAACTGGACATCCCTACTGGCACAGAAACTGAGGCTCTGGGACACTGGGATGCTTCTTCCACTGGATTCCCAGAGGGGAGGATCTTGAGGACCACCACTGGACCTCAAAAGTTGGACTCGATCTGTCTGCAGGATCAGCTTGGATGAGAGCACATCCATCACTGCAACGGGACTGCAGCTACCACCCTGCCCAACAGGGTGTCAGGTTGTGTTCTGACTTGGTCAGTTTAAGCTGCTGCAGCCACCATTGACCGTTGAACATTGAACCAGAGCACATCCATCACTGCAACGGGACTGCAGCCACCATTGACCTTCACCGCTTCCACCAGACCACATCCATCACTCCAATGGGACTGCAGCTACCACCCTGCCCAACGGGGTGTCAGGTTGTGTTCTGACTTGGTCAGTTTAAGCTGCTGTTTCTGTATTACTGCCTTTATTTTAATTTTAGCTTTTCAATTGCAGTTCTGGCATAGATTCTCTTACAACAATTTGTGTGGGAGTAATTTCCCCACTGGTTTGTTTCTCAAACTCACACAAGCTAAGGATGTGGGTGGGCAGAGCCCTGCTCAGTGCCATGGCACTGACACACCCCAGGCAGGGCTTGGGGTCTGCTCTGAAGGTCAGTGGGGCCATGTTCCTGGCCATGAGCTTTCATGACTGCCCAGCAGGGCACAAAGGTACTCACACGTCCAGTTGCTGATGTTCCCYGCAGGTGTCCTGAAGGGCCCAGCCACAGATGCCACCTCCAGCAGATATTTGCTCCCTGGGGCCAGCCCCGTGAAGGTGAAGTTGTGGGTGTCCCTCCCAAGAGAGGCTGTGGCCGCCACGGTGCCCAGYCGTGCGTGGTACAGGGTCAGTGCGTAGCCATCYGTGCCCCCGGCCGCGGRMYCCCAGGCCACGCTCAGCCTGTCRGGGTGCCCTGTGCTCAGCCAGCGCACRGCGGCYGGGGGCAGCGGGCCTGGGGGGAAACACAGCTAATGTCAGCAACTGGACATTGTGCAGGACACCTGAAAGGACCTTGTGCAGCAGGACAGGCACTCCACGAGGAAGGATCCCCTCTGGCCTCCTCATCCTCACTTTCCTCTTTTCCACCCCCATGTAACCTCACCTTTAACGATGTTCACTCTCATGTGCCAGCCCCTCCTCACCCAGGTCACCCTGACTACCACAGCCCAGCGGAAACGCCTCCACCCTGCCAGGCACATGTGTGCTCCCACACCCCACTGCCCTGTGGGTGCCCAGGCAGCCCTGGCACAGCCCCTGCACTCTGACCAGCCCCAAAATCTGTCTGGGTGGGGAGAAGTGCTGGATTAGCCCATCTCCAGAGCAAAGACCCCTTCTCCTGGGAGGACTGGGCATCAGCTTCCTGTGCTACACTGATGAATTTCGTGAACCTTTGTGGTAAGGTGGCTTCTACCTGCTGGCACACACAGGTGAGCACAGGTGCCCTGTGCACTTCTGTGCTCCTGTACACCAGGAGAGGGGTCAGCACGGGCAGGGGATATCCCAGCACAGGTGAGGATGTCCCAGCACAGGCAGGGGATGGCCCTGCACAGTCAGGGCATGTCCCAGCACAGGCACAGCTGGGCAGTTCCATCAGCATTTCATTGTGCTACAGCTGAACACACCAGTGCCATGCAGGTAGCAGCGTGTCCCTGCACTCACTGCTGTGTGTCACACCTGTGCATGGCACTGTGCACACCTCCAAAGCCACCAGGGGCTGTGAACCTCCCAGCTCTCCTCAGGACAGCCCAAGGGTGTGACATTTCCCACCCCTCTGCAGGGGACACTGCCCCGGGCACTCACGTGTCCACCCACGGATTCTGGGTGCTGCTGCCTGGTACTGTCYGGTGGTGGCGGTGGCTTCCAGGGAGTACTCGTGTCCTGGGGCCAGCCCCGTGAAGGTGAAGTTGTGGATGTCCCTCCCAAGCGAGGCTGTGGCTGCCACGGTGCCCAGCCGTGCGTGGTACAGGGTCAGTGTGTAGCCATCCGTGCCCCCGGCTGCKGGCCCCCAGGCCACGCTCAGCCTGTCAGGGTGCCCCGTGCTCAGCCAGCGCACAGCAACTGGGGGCAGYGGGCCTGGGGGGARACAYGAGTCACTGCCAGGAGCCACATCTGGGCTGAGAGCAGGGGGATGCTCTGTGTCTGTGCCGAGCCCGTGCTGCAGGAGCTGGGGTTGGCTGGGACTCTGTGKCAGCTGCCACCCTCCCTCACCTCCCTGGGTGGCTGTGGATGGCCATCAGGGCCGGGATGTGGCACAGTGTCAGGGACACCAGGGCCAGGGTGTGGCACAGGGTCGGGGACAGGGCTAAGGTGTGGCACAGGGTCAAGGACAGGGCTAAGGTGTGGCACAGTGTCAAGGACACCAGGGCCGGGATGTGGCACAGTGTCAGAGACACCAGGGTCGGGATGTGGCACAGTGTCAGGGACACTAGGACCGGGGTGGGGCACAGTGTCAGGGACACCAGGGCCAGGGTGTGGCACAGGGTCGGCGACAACAGGGCTAAGGTGTGGCACAGGGTCAGGACAGGCTGCTCATGCTGTGTCCAGCAGGGAATGACCACTGGAAGTTTCCATGGCGGGGAGAGGCAGGCAGGAGGGCTGCACCCGTGTGGGCTCTGGCTGGACTGGGAAGGGGAGATCTGGCACAGGACACGCGGCTGCAAGGAGAGCGTCCCACTCACGTGTGCAGTGGGTGAGGCTGGCGGTGCTGGCGCGGAAGGGCCCGGCTGTGGCGCTGACCACCACGCTGTAGCAGCTGCCGGGGCTCAGCCTCCTCAGGATGTGGCTCCTGGCGTTGCTGCCCAGTACCACCTGCCCGGCGGGAGAACCCGAAGCAGTGTCACGGACGTCCACCACGAAGCCTTCGGCCCCTCCACCCTCCAGTGCCCAGGACACCACCAGAGCTGAGGGCGAGGGGCTGCCCAGGGTGAGGTTGACAGGGGCCAAGGGATCTGGAAAGCAACAGGAAGACAGTGATCCCTCCTGCTCAGCACTGAGAGCTGCCTGCCGTGCCCAGGGTGCCTTCGGGCAGGGGGCAGGCTGGACCAGAGACCCTCTGGACAGGAGCCTGGGCACAAAGGGGTGGGCAGGGCGCATGGCTTTGAGCACAGTGTCCCTGGGGGCTGCAGCTGGTGTGGCAGGGAAAACACCCAGGTGGAGTGGCTCTGTGTCAAGGATGGGGCAAGAGCAGGGAGCAGAAAAGTGGGGGACATAGCACACAACCTGTGGGCACGGGTTGGGATGGAGAAGGTGGGGTGGGTGCCTTGCMAGGCTCAGGTGGAAGAAAATACTAAAGACAGGGATACATAAAGCTGATCTTAAAAGGAGAGGGAGACAAGGTATGTGTGGCAGAGGAAAAACAGAGACAGATAAGCCCTCCTCAGGACAGGCTCACATTTAACAATTCTCTGCCAAAAGCAGCATTTCTGTTATATTTTCAATGCACTAGAACCCTGTACCCAGCCCAGCCTGTCAGACTCACACGTCCACTGGGTGACCTTGATGGACGAGGCTTCGAAGGAGCCTTTCACAGCAGTGACCTGCACAGCAAACTCGCTGCCTGCCTCCAGGTCAGTCCAGGTCATGTTCAGGGCATCTGGGCTCAAGGTCTGCACCTGGCTCCTGCTCTGGGTGCTGAGGCTGTACAGAGTGACGTGGTAGTGGTCCCTCCCTCCTGGGGGCTTGTTCCAGGATGTGTGAAGCTCTGAGGAGCTGCCGGGGTTGGTGAGGCTCAGGTTTGTCGGTGCAGCAGGAGCTGTGAGGAAAAGCAGATACATGAGTCAGAGAGGAAAAGATGCATTTAACCATTTCTGAATATGCAGCCAAGGAGACTGGGAAAGGCAGGAGATGACCACAGGCCAGCTCCACCAGGAACCAGGCCAGAGTCCCTCTCCCTCTCCCTCTCCCTCTCCCTCTCCCTCTCCCTCTCCCTCTCCCCTTGTCATGACTTGGAGCATTTCCAAAACACAGAAATAACTTTTTTGTTTTGGTATATTCTATGGACAACAAAATATTTTAAAGATAATTTGGTCTTGGTGTAGGTTCCAGTTCACAGGAAACTTTTARCATGTTACAGGGCCTCAGTGTTCATTACCAAAACTGTACAAATATGTTGAAACTCTTTAGAAAAATGCCCCCCATCCCTTTGGTGTATGTATGCCCTGCTCCCCTCCCCTCATTTCCCAACACTGACCCCATAACCAGTGGGTGTCATGGACACTGACCGGTGCAGCTGGTGATGTTCTGGGGCAGGGAGCGGTAGGGTCCGGCCACCGCCCAGATCCCAACAAGGTAGCACGTCCCTGGCTCCAGCTGTGACAYGGTGACATTGGTGCTGTCCTTCCCTGCCGCCAGGCTCCTTGGTGGTGCAGAAGAGCCCTCCTCGAGCACACTGAGCAGGTACCCATCCCTCTGCCCAGGAGCAGCGTCCCAGCGCACAGTCAGAGCCCAGGCCACGCCGGTGGGGCGGGCAGACAGGGATCGAGGAGGCAGCGGGACTGTGGGAGAGAAACAGCGTCACTGGGGACACTCCGGGGCACTCAGAGCTCGGACACACCGGTGCGCTCAGGGCTCAGACACACCGGGGCACTCAGGGCTTGGGCACACCAAAGTGCTCAGAGCTCGGACACACCAGGGTGTTCAGAGCTCGGACACTCCAGGGTGCTCAGGGCATGGACACACCGGGCTGCTCAGGGCTCAGACACACCGGGGCACTCAGGGCTTGGGCACACCAAAGTGCTCAGAGCTCGGACACACCAGGGTGTTCAGAGCTCGGACACTCCAGGGTGCTCAGGGCATGGACACACCGGGCTGCTCAGGGCTCAGACACACCGGGGCACTCAGGGCTTGGGCACACCAAAGTGCTCAGAGCTCGGACACACCGGGGTGCTCAGAGCTCGGACACACCAGCTGTCAGGGCTGGCTCCAGCTCGGGAATGAAGCCGAGAGCTGCAGAGCTGTGGCCATGCAGGACAGGGTGTGCAGGCTGGCGGGAGCAGGGGGCTGTGCCGTACCGGTGTAGCCAATGGCGGTCTGGGAGGAGATGCGGTGAGGCCCGGCCTGGGAAATGATCTCCACGCGGTACCGYGACCCCGGCACCAGCCCCTCCAGGTCCAGCTGGGTCACTCCCCGGGGCACAGACACGTTCCTGATGATGGACAGAGACTCGGCCACCGAGAGCTGCACCAAATGGTCTCTGCCACCACCRGACTCCACCCAGCTCACGTGCAGCTCCTGGGGTGTCCGGCCAGGCTGGACGCTCACGTTAGCCAGGGACAGCGGATCTGGAGGGGAGCAGAGCATGGAGACCCATGAGGTGATGGAGAAGCCACCTGGAGAAGCCAGAGCACAGCCTGCACATCCGCCCAGGGCTAAAAGAGAAGTGGTGGCACCCGACCACCAGATCTGCTCTCCTGGGGGACACACACCCTGTGCATGTCCCGAGGGTGCTGCTGGCGGGCAGATGCTGAGAGCACTCAGCTCCCCGTGGGCTGCTCTGCTCCACGGACAGGGAGCAGGTCTCTCTGCTTGCTCTCTCACATCCCTCTCCCACCAGCCCCTGACTGGCCTTGAGATCACCAGTGGTCAAGGCAGAAGGTTCAACTTGACTGCAGAAAACCCAAGCTGGGGAAAGGGGTCCTTTGGGGCCCAGCAGCTAGCACACAGCCTATGTGCTCTGTGCTCCAGGACAGGGAGCATGCGGGTGTCACCAGAGCCCTCCCTCCACCCAGACAAGTCTGTGTCACCTCTGCTCTTGCAGGCAGTGCCACATGTCCCATCCCAGCAAGAGACCGGGAATACATCTGACTCACACGTCCACTCGGTGGCAAAATGTGACGAGGATCTGTAGGGGCCAGCGAGGACAGTCACCTTCAGGAAGTACTGAGTGCCAGGGGACAGCCCCAAGAACGTGAAGTTGTGGGTGTTTGGCCCCACTGAGGTGTTCCTGTGCGCTGCATGGCTCTTGCTGTAGAGCTGGAGGTGGAACTGGTCCACATCGCCAGCAGCTTTGTCCCAGAAGGCTGCRAGCCCCATGGGGCGCCGGGTGTTGGTCAGCGTCACGCCGGCCGGAGCCAGGGGGTCTGGGAGAGAAGGGACACCCGGGCAGTGAGAGGTGGCCACACACACTTGTTCTGTGCCCCCTGCACTGCCTGGGCCTGCTGAGGTAGGGCAGGAGCCAGCCTTGGCACAGCAAACCCCGAGCAGCCAGAGCTCCTGCTCTGTGGCAGATGTGGCAGCAGGTCCCCACCTTCCCCCGGTGACATCTGGAAATGTTTTCTGTTCAGCAAAGGGCTCCTCCTGCACTGTGCAGGCCCTTCTACTCCCAACGTGGCTGAATGTGGCTCCAGCTGACCTCCCCTTGTCTGTCTGAGCACCCCTGTCCCTGGCTGCCACCTCCCCACACGTGGGCCACCCTCCTGCAGCGAGTGCTGGGGTGGCTGTGACCTGCAGCGGGTGAGGTGGGACTGTCACACTCACATGTCCAGTCGGTGGCTGATTGCACAGGGGATCGGTAAGGCCCAGCCACAGCTGCCATCTCCAGGGTGTACTGTCGCCCAGGGACCAGGCTCTCCAAGGTGACATTTGTCCAGTCATTCCCCAGGGTCACATTCCTGACCAGCTCTCGGGACTTGGTTTCCCAGAGGGTCCCAGTGTAGCCGGTGCTGCCAGAGGAAGCTGCTCTCCAGGAGGCTTGSAGAGAGGTGCTCTGACCCCCATTGCTGAGGGTCAGCTGCTCCAGGGGCAAAGGGTCTAGGAAAGAGAAGGTCTGGAATCACCTGGCAGAAGTGTAGCTCCAAATGTGCTAGGGCAGGAGCCCCTTCCCTGGGAAAACCCACACCCAGGTGATGGAAAATATACCAGTTTAAATTTTTTTTATATAACTTCAGTCAAAGATCCCGTTTGCCTTTGCCCCAGGGGAAGGGTGCTAAAGTTTCTTTGCAGGGCATTGATCCACCAGGTGAGGCCTGAGGAGGTTACATCTCAACAGAGAGGGAGAAGTACAAAAAGGGCCACCAAGGACCATCAGTGGCCATCAAGAACTATCAAGGGCCATTAATGGAACACCAGCCCCAAACATCACCCCTGCTGTGGTTGGAAGAAGACTTAATGAGCATCAGAGGYGAAGAAATCCAGATCCAATAGAAACCCAAATACTGAGAACCAAGCAACGTTGGACCAATGAACATGAAACCAATAAAATTCTATGGATTTTGAAATAAAAAATAAAGCTTGGGGGAAAATCTTGTAAAATTTATGTGTCACAGAATGATTCTCTCTGCACATCCAGGCTGTGTGTGGGTGAAATAATTTCTATGGAACATCCTTGCCAGAACAACATCCTGGCCAGAAAATAAAGTAATGCCTTGATGTTCTAACATTAAAATGTTGTTAGAGAGTTTTTGTTTTTCCCACAGCCTTGGCGACACARGTGCTTCGACCAGTGTCACCTCTGCTGGCACTGTCACCCCTTCCCTGGGAAACCCACACCCAGGTGCTTTGACCAGTGTCACCCCACACCAGCTCGGCAGGGACTGTGTCAGCACAGCTCAAACTGGCACAAAGAAATGTTTGTTGTGGTGTTGGAGGAGGTGGTGGGCAGTGGAGGGGCAGCTCAGGGCAGTGGCAGCCTGAGCACAGCCACACGAGGGTGGCCTGAGGAGGAGGAGGGGATGGGCAGCAGGCTCAGCTGCCCCTTGTGCCTGGTGATGCAAAACAGAGCGGGGTCAGACACGTCCAGCAGCACCTTCTGCCTCCCCCTGAGCCTTTTGCACAGTTACTGGATGAAGCTGTAGAGGATTTGTGCTGTCAGTGCCCCGATGCACGACATCAGGGGGAAGGGCAGCACCCAGCAGGAACCCGGGGCCGTGGCACTCACATGTCCAGTTGGAGATGCTGCGGGGTGAGGATGTGTAGGGCCCAGCCACAGTGCTGACCTCAAAGGTGTAGAGGGTCCCAGGGTGGAGGCCCTCRTAGGTGAAGCTGGTGACACCCCTGGGCAAGGAGCTGTTCTTCACGGGGTGCTCTGCGAGGCTGAGGGCCAGCAGATAGCCCTCGCCCATGGCCTCCTCCCAGCTGGCCAGCAGGCTGTGGGGGCTGCCCTGGCTGGACAGGCTCACGCCAGATGGTGCTCGTGGTTCTGCAAGGGACAAGGACAGCACGGCATGGGGCAGTGCATCAGGCAGGCACACTGCTTTTATGAGGTCTTTTCTGCTTTTCAGATTGCTCTAGCTGACCTAGAGCAGGGAGGCTGGAGTAGATGATATCCAGAGGTCCCTTYCAACTCTAACAATTCAGTGATTCTGTGATTCCGGTGGTCTCCATCCCACCCAGGGGCAGCTGGGGCTGCAGGGAGAGCTCTGAGTGTCCCCAGCACACAGGATGGGGACCCAATTGTCCCTTCCCAGAGTGGCAGCCCTGGGACAGCACCAGCTGTGGCTCCACRAGGCACCCAGGACAGACTGGGCACAGGGAGGTGCTGGTCTGGGGGGCTGGTGGCGGGGAAGGGGGGAAGCTGCCCAGAACCTGCCAAGCATGGAGTCCAGAAGGTACAAAGCAGGATCTGCTCTTGGTTTGTGCCTGACACTGCACAAGCCCACCCAGCCCCTCAGGAACCATGGGGACGCAAATTTTGCTGCTCTGATCCTGCTCTTGAGACCAGGTGCCACATGTCCCCTGTCCCCGAGCCCCCAGCCCCCTCCACACACGGGTTTTGTGCTCACCTGTCCAGGCTGCTGGGCTCTGCGCTGACGCCCGGTGCGGCCCTGCCACTGCCACCACCTGCACAGAGTACTGCTGGCCAGGGCTCAGCCCGTGGAAGGTGATGTGATCATTGTCCCCACCCACGGAGATGTTCCTGGTGGGAACGCCGTCCCCTCCCTCCTGCAGTGTCACCAGGTACAAGTCCCTCTGTCCCGCTGGGACGCTCCAGCGAGCCTGCAAGGAGTTCTGCTCCTCTGCCCTGCTCAGGGTCACATTGCCAGGGCTCAGGGGGTCTGGAAAGGAATAGGATTGTGTGAGTCAGGATTGTGGGGTGCTCTGTACCCCCCACACCCCTGAGTCTCATTCCCAGCAGGATTACGTCCAGCCTCAGACATCCTTTTCGAGCATGCTATCTCTACTCCCCAGCACAAGCATTCCTGGGCTAACAGTCCAGACAAAGCTGGCAGCCTTGCTGGGAAATTCCTAAAAGTCTCCCTCTGCTCCAYTCACATCCCACCATGAGCTTACTGATATTCCCAGGAACTGGCCTGGACCAAACTCCTGGCCAGGCGCCCCTGGCTCGTTGGTCTGGCACAGGGGAGGAGTTTTGCTCAGAGGAGCAGGTCAGAGCTGCAGACAGCACCAGCAGGGATCAGCCTCACTGCAGAGCAGAAACAAACCAGCTGGAGCTGTGGAGGCCTTCCAAAATCCCGTCTGCAGAGTCAGCAGGGAGCAGGCTCCAGCCTCCCGCACTGCCAGGTGGARCAGGGAGGGGCTGGTGGCACCCAGGGGCTCCCAGCACACACCTGACCACTGTCCGGCCAGTGCCAGGATGGGTCACTGGCCACAGCAGCTCTGAGTCTGCAGCTCARCACCTCCATCATTTGAGGGCCCATGCCACCATGGTGTTTGGTGTGAATCTGCTCTGCCCTCTCAATTTGCCTCCTGGTTTTTCTGGAAACATCTGGGAGAGTGAGTTTGGGAACAGAACTGTTTATGGTGCAATGGACACGGGGCCAGCAGCAATGTTCCCCTCTTTCAGGGCCCTCATCAGCCAGAGGCCAGAACAGGGAGTGGGAATGGTGCAACTGTGGCGTCTGCGAGGGCTTCCTTCATGGTTTTGACCWGCCAGAGGGTCCTGGATTCCTTGGCTGTATTTGCACAGTCCCACCATGYTGGGAGCATCCAGCAGGATGAGCTTATCAGGGGTTACCACAACATGCCTTTGACAGCAGCCAAACAGCACCAAAAATCCATTTCATAGAATCACAGGATTGTGGAATGGTTTGGGTTGAAAAGGACCTTAAAGCTCATTCATTCCACCCCCAGCCATGGGCAGGGACACCTTCCATTGTCCCAGCTGCTCCAAGCCCTGCCCAGCCTGGCCTTGGGCACTTCCAGGGATCCAGGGACACCATAGAAGCCATAGCTTCTCTGGGCACCCCATGCCAGGGCCTCCCCAGCCTCACAGGGAAGAATTTATTCCCAACATCTAATCTAAATCTCTCCTATTTTAGTTTAAAACCTTGTCCTATCACTCTCTGCCCCTGTAAAAAATCTTTCTTGCTCTTTTATAAGCCCTTCCAGAGGCCTCCAGCTCAAATCAGAATTGCTGCCCCCTTTCCCTATTTTTTTCTGCTGCCCTTGTCCAGCCCTGAGGCACATGAGAGCCAATCCCCAGCAGCACTGAGCACCAGTGGGATCTGCTGCCTTTCCATCCTCCTCCTCCTAGGGAGAGACCACAGGCTGCTCCCAGTGCATCCCAGAGAGAACAGGGAACCCAGSTGCTGAAGGGATTCACTGGCCCTGCTATAGCCATGCCCCAGAGCTGGGTGCTGGAGCAGCTTTGGGCCAGCTCTGAGCAGAGTCACCCCATGCACCTCAGGCTCTGGCAGGAGACCTTGGGATTCAGAGGCTGGACCAGAGGCAGGGGRAAGCTGGGGTCACCAAGCTCCTACTCACATGTCCAGGCAGTGGCGTTGGGTCCTGGCAGGGTGTAGGAGCCAGCGGTGGCGCTGAGCCCCAGCCAGTAGCGGGTGCCAGGGTGGAGGTGCTGAAAGGTGTAGCTGGTGAGGCCCCTGCGTGCTGACAGGCTCGTGGTGACCGTCTGGGTCAGCAGGTTACGGAGCTCCAGGTGCAGCCAGGCGGCCCCTGCAGCCCCTGCCCAGGAGGTGACCAGGCTGGTGCTGGACACTGGGCTGAGCCTCAGCTGGGTGGGGATGGAGGGAGCTGAGGGCAGAGCAGGACACGGTTCAGCACAGGCTGGGGGTCCCTGGGCCCTCCTCTCTCCCCAGGGCCCCCCGTGCCCACAGCTGCTCTCTGTGGCGTGGGGACTGAAGGTGTGGAAGGGATCTGCTGAGGGATGTCCCTCCCAAGCAGACTGGGGACCCTCGAGGTCCCTCCACACTGCCATGTTCTCTCAGGCTGCAGGGCAGAGACAGGGGCAGACATTCCTGCAGCAATCAGCAGCCAAAGATTCAGGATCCCCAGGCTGCCCCTGTGCCTTGGGAATACACAAACCCAAGGTGCACAGCTTTCCCCTCGCCCCACACACCAGGCTCACAGTGGGATGTGAAACTCTCCAGCTGATCCCCACCCTACACAAGCTCCCCATCCCCATCCCCATCCCCATCCCCATCCCCATCCCCATCCCCATCCTGGAGACCTCCTCCCCTTGCCACATCAGTGGCTGGCACCAGAGCACCCAAAAATCCTTCCCAACCCCTTCCTGAGCCGGGGCTGCTGTGGGATGGGCTGGCCTCCACCTGAAAACATCAGCGTTCCCTCTCCAACCCCTCCCACCCCACCTGCCTTGGCAAGGACATTCCTCCTTGGGAAAAGGGGGTGTGGTTCTCATTCTCACTGAAGCCAGTAATGCACAGCTCCTGAGCAGCCAGTTTGGAATCCCCTCCAAACCCTTCCAGGAATGGGCTGAAGCTGTGCCAGGACTCAAATCCCTCCCCTAAACACACACACAGAACTGCCTCCTTCCTGTCAAACCCTTTCCACCACSCCTTCTCCTCGGGCAGGCACACCCATCGCTCCCTACCTGTCCACTGGTGGACACTGGTGCTGGCCTGGCTGGACCCCGCCAGTGTGCTGACCCTCAAGGCGTATTCGCTGCCGGCCAGCAGCCCGTGGAACAGGAASGTGGAGGCGCTGGGCGGGAGGGACACGTTGCTCACCAGGCTCTGGGAGTCGCTGTGCCACAGCTCCAGGTGGTACTGGTCACGCTGGCCGTGCCCGTGTGCCCAGGCTGCCCGCAGCGAGGCYGTGCTCCCGCCGCTGCTCAGGCTCAGGTTGCGGACGGGCGCTGGACCTGTGTTGGACACAGCAAGGGCAGTGTTGGCCTGGGAGAGCCTGGCCTGGAAGGCAGCTCATGGGCTGGTGGAATTCACCTTTGACTGGTGAGGGGCTGCCAGCCAGCCCCACAGAACCCTGGAATGGTTTAGGACCTTAAAGCTCATCCAGTGCCACCCCCTGCCATGGACAGGGACACCTTCCACTGCCCCAGGTTGCCCCAAACCYCRTCAAACCYGGCAYTGGGCACTTCCAGGGATCCAGGGGGAGCCACAGCTTCTCTGGGACACTATGCCAGGGCCTCACAGGGAAGAATTTYTTTCTAAGATCTGATCTAATCTTCTCCTCTGCCAGTTTAAAACTGTTCTCTCTTGTCCTGCCACTCTCTGCCCATGTAAAAAGTCCCACTTTCTCTATTTTCAAATCCCTTTTAGGTACTAAAAGGAGYTCTAAGGTCAGCCTGAAGCCTTCTCTTGTCCAGGCTGAATAAGCCCAGCTCTCTCAGCCTCAGGCTCCAGCAAGGATCCCCCAAGCACAGCCCCATCACCACCCTGACTCACCAGCCTCCCCTGTGTTGTGTGGGCTGCACCATCCCCTTGGATCAGTCTCAGCAGTGGCTCTGAGMTGAGCAGGGAGGTTTGGCCAGGGCCAGCACATAAAGGTGAAGCCATCATCACCTGGAAGCTCACCTGCTGAGGTGCTCTGTTCCTGCTCGCCCTGTGGCTCCTGCACCTGCCTTTCTGTGAGAAACAGCTTCTGCTTCTGCCACTGCTGCCCGACGCCAGCCCTTCCCCTGTCCAATCTTCTCACTCCTGCTCTATGCTCCTTTGACAGGTTTCCCACTTTCACCTGCACTGATTTACTCAAGGATCTCCTGGAGAGGTGCAGGCAAGGGCTGCCATCTCCACCTGAGCTGTAGAGCCACCAGCCCTGTCCCCTTCCCCAGCCCTTGGCACATTGACAGGGATGCGCCAAAATCRTGGAGCAGATGCTCCTTGGTGCTGTTTCTAGAGCTCCAGCTATGACATTTTCCACCCCTCAGCTCTCTGCAAGCCCCATCACATGCTCCATCATTCCAGGAGGAGAAGATTCAGCAGGAGCCCAGTCCTTACAGGGTGCAGGGGCAGGACCCTTCCTCCATCAGGATTAGGGAATGACCCCGGGGACTCTGGGGACCAAGGAACGAGCCTGGCTCTTGTGAAAGCGAAGAAAAGCCCAGCCACCCTACGAACTAGCAGGACTCCAAACAGCACAACACCCCCCGAACAGCACAACACCCTCCAGAAGAGCACAAAGATCACTGCTGGTGATGCCTGATGACTTTTGCCTTTCCTTTTTCTGTACCCTTTATGYATCCCTTGTACCCCWTTGCCTGCATGCTTGTAATTCCTGTAGCCTGACATTSCAGCTCAGTTTAGGGGTTCTGCTGGGCAGAGAAACCAAACATCCTGAGGAAGGGGTCAGTGTGCCCTGTGCTATCTTAAGCCTGAAGATTGGAGCCTTCTCTCTGGAACCTTCTGTGTAAACTGAGCTCCCAGGGGGGGATTCTTTAGAACAGGGGGACATTACTGCATTTGTTATTGGAGAATCCTAAATAGGCATGCTGATTTGTAAAATTTATAAAACTTGTATCAGTGCTATACACGGCATTTTCCAGCGTTTTCTCCAATCTGTCGAGTTGTGCACCTGGGAACCCATTAAATACCGAGGGAAAACCCTTTTATCCCCTTAACCATGCCTGTGTCATCATTAAAACTGGCTGATAAGGCAACATTAGGAGCACCAGGCTCYGGGGAGCCCTTACTTGTCTGTGCTGTGACCGTCTGGTGGGCAGTGTCCATGCAGGCCAGCATGGCTGTCACTTCGACCTCGTAGCGCGTGCCAGGGGTCAGCCCGTGGAACCAGAAGCTGGTGACGTTGGCTCCAGCAGAGGCGTTCTGCAGCAGTGTGTCCGACCCCAGGGAGGAGAGGGCCAGCAAATATCCCCTGGCACCTCCCTCTGGCTCGTCCCAGGACAGGAGGAGGGAGTCTGACCGGCCATGGTCGCTCGCRCTGACGTTCAGGAGGTGAACTGCAGAGACAAATCCAAAACTCTCAGCAGGGAGTGGTGGTGTTGGGGGGCAGCCTGCAGGGCCAGCTCCCA